CCACCGGAACATTTCACAAATGGACACCTCTTCCATTTACGTGCGGTGACATTTCAGAGAAGCTGCTCTGCTTTAGCACTGAAATCCCATCATGTCTTTTCACCATCAAGGGTAACCTGACCATGTGAAGAAGATTCTATAAACAGATGGGCAGGGATTTTTACGTTTTTAAGTTTATTAATCACCCCTGGTTTCTCTAATGCATGACAGTGACACCCAGGTAAAAACAGGCCAGCAGGGACAGTAACACCCTTCCAAACACGTAAAACAAATCAGTGAGTTTAAAAACGGACATATTTACACAGGAGCAGGGATATTTTAAATGATTTGTGGCCAGGAATTTACCGAGATGCCTTTCTCGAGAAAGGAACAGGAAGGTGAGAGGTGTCGTATTAAGGCAGCCTGCACGTTGGCAACAGGCAGGTCGCCCTATCGACATATTTTCCAATCCAGTTATTGTCAGCTTCCAATTCCTCCAGTAAAGATAAATATAGATGTAAGGAGTCCTAAATTAAAATTAGTCTTATTTTTCTTGAGGCTACCGATTTGATTAAATTGTATGTGCCGTACCTTTTAAAATAGCTATTTTCTCCTTTACTCTAATCCACTTGAGGGAAGAGCATCAGAGTTAATGAGGATGGTGCGTGGCATGGAAGGAGTGAGCGAGTAGCGTAGGGCCGAGGCTGGAGCCCCTGTGTGGCCTCTCTCCATGCTGCCCAGGTGTCGTTGGCCCCAACACCTCTGCATCCCTAATCCAGCATACAGCTGATGCAAAGCACAGGGTCCCAGGCTCCTATGCCTCTGGCCAACAGAACAAATCTGCCTCTAAATCAGAGATGTAGAGGTGGGTGTGCACAGGTACACAGCCCATCCCCACCTCTAAAAAAGCTGATCACATGATTCATCACATCCTGGTCACTGCCTCTTTCAGCCTCTGCCATCAGGCAAGAGATACAGAGCAATGAAAACCAGGACAAATCGCCTAAAAAACAGTCTTTATCCCAAAGCAATAATGGCTTTAAATTCAAAATAGAACTGTTAATTTTTATATTTCATGAGTGCAATTTGTATATTCAGTGCAATTTATATAGTCAGTGCAATTTGTATATTTTTAATATACTCTTTTATTACTCTTATGCCTTACATTGGGTCGATTCCATTTTCAATTTCCTTGTTCAAGTGACAATGACAATAAAGATTCATGTTATCTTATGAAACAACAATAGATTTACCATATACTGCTCCTAAAAATCGTCAGAAATGTGTATCAGTTAGAGGAGAAGTGCGTATAACTAATTATACGGTATAACAGTATACCCACCTAACAAGACATCACTACTGCACTGCTCTGGACACTTGTGTTTCGTTCCTAAAGCAACTTTAGGATATATTTCAGCAGGATATTTCACTGGGGTAACTCCGGTTAAATCTCATGTTGGGAGTTGAACCAGCAACATTTTGTGTGCATTTATATGACATTACCTGACCCTAGTGGATTCCGAAGTAGACAGAGTTCATCCTGAGTAAAATGCATCATCATAAAGAAAAAAAAAGCACAGCATGCTTGCCAGTTTGAAAGACAAATATGCTTGAAATAAATAAGAATGTTTTCAGCAGCTGTTGACACAAAACCTCGTGGCCTGTAGAGGTCAAGGTTTATCAGCAGAGCAGTCTGAGGTTGATAACGCACAGCCCAAGCCCCCCCCGCCAACCCTGTGTGCTATGTTACCCAATCAAAACGCAAATGACCTTCCGGAAGATTCACCCTCCTGTAGAGGCAGAGCAGGCCGCAGCATAATCCCCTGTCAAACGTCAGTCACGCTCAACAGTAACAGAAGTCACCATCCAGCTTAAGCCTTTCCCCGATTAGGGCCGTCACAAGATCCACAGAAACTGCTAAATTAACTGTCAGCCATGAAATCCTGTTTTTTTTTCTCGAAAAAAAAAAAAAACTCCATCCTTTAATGCAAAAAAGATCAAACACCGTTGAGGCTGGGTAATCGCATCACTTGGAGCCAATAAATTCACTCCGAACCAAACGCATCACTCACGGTGCAGGGGAGCGGCGAATCATGAGCGTTTCGAGTCACGTAGGCATCGAGGTGCGAGTCCCGGTCACCTAGCGACTCAAGTCAGGTGTTTGTTAAAACCAACCAACTCCAGAAGTCAAACAAGAAATCAAAGACAGAAAGGGGATATCTAGAAAGCAGCTCTGACTTTGATAACATATACAGCAAACCACACTGAAATTTATCAGGTCATAACTTAATGTTGTAGATTGTTTTCACTTGCATAATACTTTTAATTAAATAAAATACATTTTAGTCCTTCTGTGTCCAAGTTGAAATGTTGCAATTTAATCAGCCTAGAGTGGCAATGAAAAGGCAGTACTGGCAGATTTTGCATTCATTCTAATCTTTCTTTTTAATTCTAAGGCTTTTATCTTCCAATTCAGCCCTATTTGGCATGATAAAAGCACAGGAAGACAAATCTATAACAAGGATGGAAAATGCATTAAAAAAAACGATAGTCAGGGGGTTCAAAAGCTCCATGGCTCCAGTTATAATTAATTTCAAATTGCCCGTTTTACCGGTTCAAGCTTGTTAAAGTTTTTTTTATTATTATTCCCCTGTTGAATAACAAAAGGGGTACGTCTGGTAGCTGGGGCTGCAAAGCCAGACTTCAGCTACAAAGGACTGCTGGGAAACTTATGTGACAGCATCACGGAGGGAAGTCAAAGCCATGACAGGGCACGGGCAAGAGCGGCTACGCCACACGTTTGTCACTCCACGCTGAGAGCTACCTATGCTGGGATTTAAAACACTTACTTTCTCATCATGAGTCTTGTATCTTAACTACACATCAGACGAGCAGGAAGTGTGTGGGGGGGGGGGGGTGAAACTTAATCGGAATTTCTCGCTCCTAGCACATTCATGTACACTCATACACTCCATGACCTCTGACCTTTCTTCCATATGTCCTTTTGCCACAGCAATAATAAAGAAAAAGACTCAATCTAACTACAGAGAGGCAACTGCCATGGCACTCAAGCACTGGGAAGAGTACCTTTGATGTGAGCAAACTAATGCTTATCTACGCTTTACATCAATTAATGATGCCTGCAGTGCCCCATCACCCTATTCAGTTTGGAATTTGGAAAAACACGTTGTCCTAATTGTAATGATCTGCTTTAATCTCTGACTTGACGATTACAGGATCGACCACCGGGTTGGTAAACAAACATATTAATAATAAATCCAGGACAACATGCTTGCATCTACTGAGTAATATGCTAGTGTCTCTCAGCATTCAGCATCATCTGAAGGTGTCTGTAAGGTAGGGTTCCCCAGTTCTGGTCCTGGAGGGCAAAACTGCAACACAGTTTGCAGATTTCTCTACTCAAATACACTTTATTCAGCTCACCAGGCAACTGCCAGGTTTAGTAGGTCTGTTTGAGCAGGAAAACCTGCAAACTGTATTGCAGGGCTGACCCTCCAGGACCAGATTTGAGGAACCCAACTAACTGGGTCTCATGCCTCAAAGACTGGTTGCTCAATTGCCAGGCCTAATCATAAAATCTGTAACAATAATAGGACAGTGTGGTGGATCAGTAAATAGCACAATCGCCTCACACCCCAAATCCCCACCCCTAGCTGTGTATGTGTGCAGTCTGCATGTTCTCCCCATATCTGTACTAGGTATCCTTCAGGTACCCATTTGGAGTACTCCTCCAGTCTAAGGACATGTGGTAAGGTGTACTGGGGCCTCCATGATCCATCTATGCATCCTTCCCAGGGTGCCATCTTCCATGTTCCTTCTGCATCCTGGGACAGGAAAAGGCTCAGCATGACCCTCTACTGGGTAAGGAATTATGGATGATAAATGTATTATGATCGGCTCCCTGGGGAGGTGTTTTGGGGAGGTCCAACTAGCAGGAGACCCCTGGGGCACACCCAGGCTGGAGAGGTTCTCTCTCTCGGCTGGCATGAAAATTCCCCAGTCTCTCCTTGGAGGAGCTGGCTGGGGAGAGGGATGTCTGGGCATCCCCTACTTAGGCTGGTGCCCCTGCAACGCGACCCCAGATAAGCGGCAAATAATGGATGGATGAATGGATGGATAGATGGATGGATGGATGGATGGATGGAATGTATGAAGATATTTGCGCTACTATTTGAGTCAATGGAAGCTGAGATCCTCTTCCTGATGGCTCAGGTGCCTGTGGGGAGATGAAACTAGAAGCCCTGCAACCTTGACTCACTTCACAGACACAGTGTCACCACAGGCTGAGCCGCTCAGCATCCCAGGCTGTCCTAACACTGCTGAACACAAGGCCACCGTTATACTCCTGGTTTTTGGGCCACCTACGCATCTGTTTTTAAACTTGTGTATGTTTGGCCTGTCTGGGAGTGTTGGGAAGCCAGTAGGACCCACACACTGTTTTCCCCCTACGACTGTCTCATTATCTTCTTGCATTTTCCTACAGTATAACCAATATGAATTTTTAACTGACTGTACTGTTTTGTTGCACATCTTCGTTAAGGACTTTGGGGCAAGTATGTTCTGAAGAGCACTGTAAAGTGAATTAAAGTGTGGTATACTGTGATTATCAAATCACGAGGCAAAGAGGTGTGTTTTCTGTTGGATTCTGATACATGGAACAACTGTCCTGCAAACGTTTTCAGAGAGAAGAGGGATCAGACATAAATACTGGTATTTCCCATGGTATCCAAGCCAGTACTGCGCACAGATGATTAAACTGCAAGAATGACAACAACAACTTTCATTACTATTGGCCTTCTAGTGAGCTTCTAACTCTCCAGAGGGAAAAAAGGGAAATCCATGAGCTGACTGATAACCAGGATGCCCGGCTGAAGGTGGATTTTCCCATGGTCAGGAGGGTAATACAATTTACCACATCAGCGTCTCTGCTTGCATCATTTAATCATTTACGGCATTTTTGATGTACAAGGAACAGAATGTTCTGACAGATGCGGGCCTACCTTCTGCTGGGCCACAGGACCAGAACCGAACTGTGGGCCTGTCGAAGGTGCCAGGGCAGGAGGGACATCGGTAATGTAGGTCTTCTTTGGGCCTGGAGGGTGACAGCCCTGGCTGAAGAGTGCAGCAGGATGAGCAGGCTCGGGTCTCCAGGTGTTCTGGTTCCCATATGCCAGACCTTGCCCCATCCCCGGGTAGTGCTGCTCTGGGTACCCTCTGAGAGGCTGAGGAGTGTAGCTGGGCTGAGGTGGCCCATAGGCAAAATCAGCACTGTTACGGAGCTGGGGGGCTCCATATGGGGCTGGGGCTGGTGCTGGTGCTGGGGCGCGCATAGGTTGGTGAGGGAGCTGGTGAGTGGGCTGGTGAGGGGGTTGGTGATGGAACTGGTGAGGGGGCTGGGCAGTCTTCACCTGGACATTGATGGCTGGTCGTCTGGGGGTGGAGGTAGTGG